CCTCGGGGTATAATGTTTAGAAGTGTCACTGAGGTATAATGTTGAGAAGTGTCACTGAGGTATAATGTTGAGAAGTGTCACTGAGATATAATGTTGAGAATTGTCACTGAGGTATAATGTTGAGAAGTGTCACTGTGGTATAATGTTGAGAAGTGTCACCGAGGTATAATGGTGTTCCCTAAATCACTCGAAAGATATGCATGTATGTATTTATTACAACTTTGGTATAGTATCAGCTGTGAATCTACTGTATATCTGGAAGTAGTTATAATCTTAGCCGATAGAGATAATTGCGGTATTAGATGTCAGATGAAATATTTGCATGCGAATGCTAACAGACTACTGCACAGATATCATGATTGCTCTGATTTTGTCAAATTAACTCTATAATAAAGACTTGTTTATTTATGTATTGCTCCCATATGTATGCAGTATGTTTTCAGTGGCATAGAAAAATACATTCTGATTGGTCTTGGTGGTAATATAAGATGTACCAATCCCTTGTGTTGAATGACACTTTAACATTTAGAATTTAGAGCTAGATTTTTACCTTAGATAAACAAAGAGTTTTACTTTTTCAATTGCAGCAACATTGTCTGTTATGAGAACTAGCCAATACTGGTGTTCCTGACATTTTAAAAACCTTTATAGTTATTTTTTTATACTTATCTTTTTTGTAATTTTTTTGGTTTTGTGTAATCATTATGCTTCTTATAAGATTTCACTTGGGCTAAAAATATTATTACTACAGAGGATTTTTAAAAGGCTAAAATATGCATTATACATTTTTATATGATTCCATTAATATTTTTTAAAAAATGATGAAGCACAAAATTGTAATTAATTATTTTTATTTCATTTCATCATATTCTGGTATACTTTTTGATCTTCAACCATTTTCAAGAAAACTTTGTATTTCTTGTTGTAATATTCTCTTTCCCTGCAGTTTGGGCGTAACACATGTCCAACTTTGGACATCTTCTCCATCACTTCCTACAAATAGAAAATGAATGTCAGAATAAACCGGATATTAAGAAAGCATCTTCAAAAAATGATGGTAGTGATTAACGATTTTGATGTATCGGTAACTTTGATCCTAATTCAATCTGAGATTTTCCAACATAATATGATCATTTCTATTCTTCTCAATACAAATATTGTTGTAAAATACTGTAAAATGACTAATTTTCACTGGGTTTAAATTTCGCTGATTGAGCATTTCAGGGATATTCAATGGGTTTTAAATTCACAGGTTTTATCATTTAGATAATGTGTTCTATGCTCAATTTTACATATTCACTGGGTTTTAATTTAGCGCATTTTTTAGTCAGCGAAATAAGCAAAATTAAAACCCAGTGAATAATACCGGATTCTGCCATAATACCGGATTCTGCCATAATACCGGATTTTTTGGCAGTTTTTTAAGGTGTTATTTTAATCTTTTCTGATGCCTAAAAGTTTCGCCATAGTCATTGATGCCTATTCAAGAATATTGATGTTTATTGCGACTAGCGTGAATGGGTTAGCTTCGATTCAACAGTGAGTTGTTATCGCTGTAAATAATGTTAAATTATTCTTCAAATGCTCAGTTTATCTTTTGAAAACAACTAAATTTTTATTTAAAAACAAATCATGCCGTTTTCCCATCAAAATCCAAGCCAAAAGATCATACAACATCGGCAAATCCCTTCCATGCTGGGTTCAATAACATTAACATATTTAAATATTTATGGTAATTTGAACATGTTGGCATCATCCATCGTTTTCATTGGTTAATTATCGATTTGACCTGTCAGGTCAGGTCAGGTCAAAACATGGCGGATATTCATTTCTACAGCATCGAGCATTTAAAATGCGATTAGGAACCATTCTCTTACGATGAAATAAGTTGAAATTGATTTGCATTTCATAACAATTCAACGAATTTAATTTTTTGCACGTTATTATAATCATTACTAGGTAATAATCAACAATTGTAAAACGCTACCACGACCATTCGCTACTAAGCAATGCAGTTGTGTTCTTTGTTATTTGAAACTTCTTTTAGAATATACTTTCGTTACTAATAAAATGAAACAAAATAATTGTATTTGGCGCACAAGGTTCGTTAATGTGATTTTTTTGAAGAATGATGCGTGGTCTACTTATTAATCCAGCTAGAAAAAATGTATACAATTTTAGTTTCTTTCGTTTTGGGTGGTCCAACTGCCGGTGTTGAAAGTCGAAACGGCCCGTGAAACCACCCAGGACGATTTTTCGGATGGGCGAATTTACGGCAGAATCCGGTATAACGCTTTTACAGTATTACTAAGTTGCCAATTTTAGCAAAAGTTCGTGTCAAAATATTTTAGTTTGTATGGAAATGAGACTGATTTATGTGATGTACCTAAATGTATGTATAGAAGCAACTACAGCATACTATTTATAGACTCACCTGTATATTGGAGTAATCACTGGAAGCACATGCACCTAGCATTGAAGCACCTAGCAACACTGACTCAATTTCTTTTGGCAAGATTACTGGCAGACCTATTGTGGAGGACCAATTATTAAAATAATTTTATGCAGTGTATTTTGTATGAAAAAAAAATTAAAAGAATATTTTATCAAATAACTTGCAAGTTTGAATTTAATAACCTCATATATATGGGTTACCAGATTAGCAAATGCGAGTTCCAAATATGGAACTATTACGCATATAAGCGTCCTCTAATAATGAAAACAAACATGGCGGACCAAAGGGTTTTAGACCAGACCCCACACAAAGAAGTTTGCTGAATCTGTTATAAACTTTTTGGATTTCGACATTTCCATGATGTATCCTTGGGAGGAAAAGATGTATAATATTAAGGTTATTAGGAGGATATCGGAAAGTATTAACTCAGACAGTATGCAGTCACACCAACCTCCACTGCACGCTGGTCGATACTCTCGCTGTACTGTCTTTGTGCATACTTTTAGGTATCCTTGTAATAACCTCATAATGTTTTAATGTAGCGGTAATTAAAAGTAATATTTTAATAATGCAGTGTGCAACTAAAAAGCAATAATAGTTTATACAAATACTCCATTTTGAATCATAATTCACCGTGTTCCGCCTTAGACATAAATAGACTCTCCCCTCTCTATTTTTAAATCTATGAAGTATTCATTACCTGTGACATCTGAGTGGATTTGCATAAATAAAGAGTTTTTGCTGAGACCACCGCAAGCAATCAGTGTTGATATATCATGACCTGACCCATTTAAAGCATCTAGGATGTGTCGAGTTCCAAACTACAAGTACAAATATTTACAAACTGCATTATTTTGCTGTCAAAATAGAATGGCATAATTTATGTGTTGAGTGCCCTCTATGTCCAGTTTTGGAATACTTTTGTTTTTATCAATGTTTGTACAAGTGCAATCATTTAATCATCAAATAAACATTATTCTATCAGATCTGTTGATGTATTTTAACAGAATATACCCTTCATAAACATTAGGTTAGTCAATTTAGTAATTATATAATTGTTTAATTTATTTAACATCACAACTACTTACAGCAATAGCCTGTATCGTAGCAAGATATAACACTGCTAGGTTGTCTATATCGGTTGATAATGTCAGTCCACATATCTAGAAAGAAAAGAACAGATTAGACACAAAAAACAGAGATGGGATCCTGGTGACTGACAAGCAGCAAAAGTTGATGTGATCCAGTACTGCCTGAGTGTATACTTTGTGGTGTTCTCGTCATAACCTTTATAGATCTTCTCTTGCTTGTTGTAATCACAGACCTTAGAAAGAGAGGGACATGCAACTACAGTATTTCTTTTGTTTTAACCTGGGTTATAATTCTCCAAACAATCTCACAAATAAACAACCATCTGTTTATTTGCACTGTCGGCAGCACTTGTGAAACGCAAAACGCGTGGGTTCCGGCCCTGCGTGACTACGGAAGCGACGGTCATGAATAAGCTAATTGTATGTTAATGAGTTTACTACTTAGTATCACATATTTCAAAACAGTAATTACTTTGAGAATTGCACGGCTCAAATAAAAAACGCAAGAATTTGAACAACAACGAAAATGAGGCAGTACCCTTAGCTTGGTCATTTGTTTATAACTGTAGTAACCTACGTTGCACGTCGGATGTGGTGAAATCCTTTGTTTTATAATCCAGTTGCCCGTCCCTCTCTTTCTAAGGTCTATGTTGTAATAAATGTTGTGAGATACAACAAACTAAAATGACAAGTATTCGTGCCTGTGTGATCATTTGTGTTCAGTGGCGTAATTCTGTTTCAGTAACATGCTACATTGTTGCTATCTCCTATGTAAACAAAGTAAAGTATTTGAATGTGACGTGACGCGCATTTTCTGAATAAAAAAACATGTGAATGCATCCTTAACACTTTTGAACACAACGATACAGGTTTTTTCAGACCGATGAATTCTATTGTTTTTGCTGCCATATATATAATAATACATGTAGAAAAATAAAAGGTGATTCACTCAAAATGATGCAATATGACGTACTTTACATACAGGGACGTTACACTTGCCGATAGTACCGCCTGCAAGTTACAGTACGTAGTATGTATTTACTGTAGACAACTTAACTCACCATTCCTTTGAGAGAAGCATCAGCCAGAGGTGATCGGTTACCGTGGAAATCGGGCCATATATGCAAATTTGTTGTCAGCTGACCAACTTGATCTTTCATGTGACTTTTTTCACCCAATGAGGAAACACGTTCATTGAGTACTTGATATATGTTGCTATTGCTAAATAACAGTAAAATAAAAAATGATCAATGGAATCTTTACCACATATGACACCCTAGTTGCATACCCTTACCTATTATCCGCCTTTGACTATCAATACATTTAGTTGAAATATGAGTTTCAAGAAGTATAACAAAACTGACAGTTAATATAGATATCAAGCGATAAATTAGACATATACATAACTACAGTGTTAACACACCTCGAATATTTCTTATGAAGACCTGTAAGGCAAAATTGTGCCTATTTTGGTTAAAATATATACTAATTTTTAAAAATGATGCACTCAAAATTTAGACAGGAAGTATTAAGATTGATGGGTTTCCATCTGAAAATAAACACTCACACAAGCCGTAACAGTACCTTTCTTGTGCTTTTTGCTTCAGTTCGTTATATGCTGGATGTGTTTGCACAATATGGTCCAATAATTTACCAGTTGCACTTTGTCCTCCTTCTGTTACCCAAAACTTTGGAACCATTGACGAATAAAATGGACCCCATACTCGATCAACAAATATTGGTTTGTCACTTATCTGACAGAGTAAATTACAAAGGATTGACAATTACCATAACGAATTAAAGGTAATGTACTCCATCATTATAATACCATGAACAAACAAACAAGTCGTTCACTACTGAACATTTGGTCAGTGCACAACCCCACAAAATTCCTATCAAATGACTTATACCAAAAAACACAAAATGTTTTATACGTACAGGCAAGGTGATATGTTCTGGGATATGTTGCAGGCGAAAAACAGTAAGTTACTCCAAAAACAAAGAAAATGTAAAATTCGTTGTCTCTGTGCCTGTTCTTGGTCATGGCATTAAAGCGAGGGAGTCGTCACCTGCACATGCGTCAGTTTACAAACAAGCATCTACCCATAAGCCTTTGCATTTTAGCGTGTGTTGTTATCGTGGCTTGGAACTCAATTCCCATGCGTGTGAAGGTGACGACCCTCCTGCTTTCCGCTCAAACAAAATACTCATTTTAATAGTGACAGGAAACAAAATTTCAGTTCAAATACCCCAAACTATAACATTTTGCATTGGAATACATAATCAGAATTGTGAATGAAGATATATAATTTGCATTATGTGTGTTCTAAATTGTAGAAGTTCATGTTGAATGGTTGATGGAAGGTGATTTTAAAGTGGCCTAGCCACTCATAATTTTTGAGTTTGTGCACAGTTAAAGGGGAACCTTCCAAGACCAGGGATTGCACCAAAGAATCATGGGACACTATTGTTTATGTTGTTTACAATGTTAATCTGTTAATTTGTTATCTATTGTAATTTTAATCCAGAAAGTAAATTTCTTGTGAGATTAGGCTTAACTGGAGGTGCCCCTTTAAC